CTCCTAAAAACTGCCATCGTAGCTGCAATTAAGGTCCCATGAGCAACTGGCAGAGACTGTAGTTAGCTAGGTAGAAGTGGTCTTCCTTAAGTGGATATGTGTATTTTCTTCTCTTTTTTAAAAATTTTGTTTTTAATTGACCCATGATAATGGTACATATTTATGGGGTACAATATAATGTTTTGGTACAAGTCTATTTTGTGTAAGAATTGCATCAGGGTGTTTAGTAAGTATATTCATCACTTATCATTTCTTTGTGGTGACAATATTCAAAATCCTGGCTATTTGACCAGCAGGTAGTGTGGTGGTTAAGGCACTGGATCTTACATGACTGACTCCATGGTTCAAGTCCTGGAGCCGGCAGCTCCAAAAAACACTCTGGGCACAGGTGTGTATGTGCCCCAAACCCCAAGAAGAGGATGGAGGAGAAAGGATTCGGCATGGCTGTCCCACAGGGTGGGTGGGATTTCCCACGTTCCCTTTTTCTCTGTCTCTGTCTCCAGTGAGCACACAGCCCTATGACAAAATATTTTTTAAAAAATCCTAGCTATTTTAACCCTTGGAAAAACTAGGTAAGTGTTGAAAAGTAAAGGAGAGTTAAAAATCCTAATACTGATTTTTTTATTATGAAGGAATCTGTGTATTTTGAAATTCTATATATCTGTAATGTTTGAGCATCTTAGAATGATAGCCCTGAAACTTCAATTTGGAACACATAATTGTTTTAGGCTTACAGTTTTAAATTGAAACCTTATTAAGTTTATGGATAACTTTGGAACATATTAGATAATGCAACTTCACTATTTATAACTTTAATCTGTTAGAACTATTTTTTTTTATTGCCAGTGGGTACATGCACAGTCAGAGAGAGACATAGGAAGAGAGAGATAGAAAGCATGCCCCAACGAGGTGAGGTCATGTCACATCCCTTCTCCTCTATTTCTCATCCAGTCTGTATTTAAGGAACACATGTCCATATAAACAGCCTGATTTTCAAGCCAATGGGGCTGGGATTCCAACAGTGGTTAGCCATGTGGGATCTGGCTCCTTTACCCTTCAGCTATGGGGCCAACCCTATTAGTTATTTTAAAAACTATTTAGAAATAAAATACATAATTGTAATTTAATACAATTGGAAGTATTTAGTTAAAATTATTCAAATTAACCATTTTTCAAGATCCCTTAAAAAGCCTCCTGAAATATACTAGACTTAGGAAGAGAATAATGAGATTTGCAAGCTATAGTTGAAACCCTAAGGAAGAACTGTGGTTGGTGAAAATTGTAATTTTTTTTTATTATTTTAGAGAGATTTTTGCTATAGGGCGTATGTGCATGCCAGAGAAACAGAGAGACAGAAAGCAAGAAATCACTCCCAAGAGGGGATAGCCAGGGAGGATAGCCAGGCTGCAATCCCTTCTCCATACTTCTCTCAGGATTTTTGGGCACACACGCACACATGCCTGGTGTGAGTTTTAAGCCACCAGGTTCAGGGCTTGAACTGTGGTTGACTACATGGGAGTCCAGCGACACAACCATTATGCCATCTGCTGGTTCCCAAATTTGTAATTTTAATAAAATGACTTCTAACTTAAAAACTTCAATTTTAATAGATTTACTATCTATAAAATGTTTCCTTGATACCAAAGCACCCAAAATGAAATAAAAACAAAGCAGAAAACTTCACACATTAACAAAGTAATCAAAATAAAAATAAACCCAGGCAAAGGTTCTGCTGTCTGCCTTTCTGTCCTGAAAGGTGGAGTGAGAGAGGGCTTTGCAATTCTTTAGGTCACATCACTAAGGAAATGTATCACTTCAATGCAAGGAGACCCAAGCATAAGGACACATTTTTGATAAATACCTCACAGAATATGTGTTTTTATTGTTATACTTGTTGAAATTTTTATTCTTTAGCTTTAGAGGGGATGGCACAAAAACATACCCCTTTTTTTTTTAGAGAGGTTTTTGCTATAGGGTGCAGATGCTTGCCAGAGAGACAAAAAGTGAGAAAACACTCCCTAAGGGCAATGGCCATGCTGTACTCCCTTCTCCTCCATTCTCTTCTGGGGATTTTGGGCACACATACATATGCACCCAGCGTGAGTTTTTTTTTTTTTTTTTTTTTTGGGGAGGTTTTCGCTATAGGGAACATCACCTTGCCAGACAGACAGGGAAAGAACGAGGAAAGCGAGAAATCACCCCTCAGGAGGGATGGTCAGGCCGCAATCCCTTCTCCTCCATTTTCCTCTTGGGATCTTGGGCACGCACGCACATGCGCCCAGCGTGAGTTTTAAGCCACCGGGTCCGGGACGCGAACCGCGGTCGACTACGTGGGAGTCCAGCGACATAGCCATTACGCTAACTGCTGGTCCCCCAGCGTGAGTTTTAAGCTACTGGGTCTGGTTCTTGAACCACAGTCAACTACATGAGAGTCCACAACATAATCATTATACCATCTGCTGGTCCCAACATACTCCTCTTTTAAACAACTAAGTGGATATATTAAATCAATATGGTGACTTTCACCATGGCTTTTACCTTCTCCCCAGGTGCTCCTTACTCTGCCCTCTGAAAGTCTACTCTGACTGTGCATGTTGGCTACATATGCAGTGTCGTCTGTGTAAATCCAGAGATGAGTGCATATGAGCACTGGACTGGGGGAGGGGGAGAATTCAGAATGTCCCTAGAAGGGCAGAAACCTCCCTATGTAGGGTAAAGGCAGCCCCCTACTGTGGAGCAGGGCACCCTCTGTCTCACTTCCAGAGGTGAAACAAACATCCAGCTTGAACAAGTAGAGGCTCAGGTACTTGAAGATCTGGGGTAAAGTCAATGTTTGCAGGGCCCTCGGACGCCACACCTTCTTCTCTTTGTAGCGCATACTGTGGCTATGAAGCACCAGTACCGTTCTGACTGTACTTCTCAGGCATCTGAGCTATTCAAGGCATGTTTTAAAATTTCTCTCTCTCTTTTAACAATGGAAAAACAGTAAACCTCATTCAACTAAAAATTCCATTACTTACAGGTCAGAGAAGAGGGAAGCTAAGCATGAAGGAAAAATATCATTTTCCCTTCAATGTTTAACCTAGCCTTTCATTACAGCAAGTCTTGCTTCATACTCCCTTCTTAGAATCCCTGCCCATACCCCCAGGTTACTCCTTGACCAAAGCAAAGCCCAGAGCATTCATCTAAAATTCTGGTAGATATAGAACAAATATCCTGATGTTTTGCACCCACAGAGAGTTAAGAGCATATTTAGTGTAACATTTATTGTGTGTTACCATCAGATGGCCACTGGGCTAAGCTCTAGAGAAACAGGCAAAGTAAACCTTGAGCCCTTCCACTGAGGGATATATATTGATAGTCTAGTTGGGGAGACAATATACAAACAGGTAAGTTACATTACAGTGTAAGTACTTTTAAAGTATATCTTTAAACATATTTATATCTTTTTCTGAAAGTGATTTATCATTTAATTAATTTCCTTGCAACCTTTTATGTTACTAACGGAAGTCAAAACACAGCAACCAAACACATGGCTACTTGAAATGATCATCTACAAAGACCAGAGTCCATAATCAATGCATTGCATAGTTTAGACTGAAGTTTACATAGATACTTTCATTTAGCTCACAGTATAAGGAGACTTCAGATTTCACACTTTCTGCAGTCACAGGTGACCTTGACTTAAGCAATACAAAACTAGGAATTACATAAATTTGTCAAGAATACTATCCTAAAACACTGGATGCATTTTTAGAAGGGGACAAGGGCTGGAAAAGCCTTGAAGGGTTTCACAGAAGATACTGGAAAAGAACAGAGTTTGATAACAAAGGAGGAAGACATGGCTTTCCAGGCAGGGGGACTATAAGAGATCCATACATCTGGGGTATTGAAAAGTCAATGTGGAGGGAAAGGGTTTCTTAGAGCTGCAGGATGAAACAGGAAGAAATCGCTGAAGAGACTGTGGAGGGCCTTTTCCTGGCAAGCCAAGGAGTTTGACATTAACCCTGGAATTTGCAGACACTCTGAAGCAATGACCTATCCAATTTTGCTTTTTAGGAAAGAACTTACAGGGGTGAATAAAGAACTGGAGGGCAGGACCATGTAGGTGAGAAGATCAGTATTGAGACAGCAGCCTAGAAGAGAGATGATGGGGACTTAATAAGGCAGTGGTAGGGGAATGGAGGGAAGAGACAGATTATGAATCATTTTTCCAGTCAAAACCCTGCAATGGGGTTAAAGACTGTGTGAAAGGCTCGGAGCAGTCAAGAGTGCTTCGATGTTTCTGGTTAGGTGGCTAGGTAAGTGTTGGCACTGGTATATAGACTGAGAATTAATTGGTAAGGCAGCAGTTGGCGATACGGCAGTGAGCTAAGAAACCCACTAAAGATGAAGTATCAGCAGGACAAACTAGTGCAAACCTAAGAAGATGGTTTATACCTGGAAGTCACATCAGCACAGAAGAATGGCAATGGAAATCTTGGTGAGAAACAGAAAGGAAGTGAGAAGAAAGTCAGGACATCCCGGAAGTTAAGCGATGTTCAGAGAAGAATCTATAATAAATGAGAGGCTGGAGAAGGGACAGTTCGAGAGCTAGGAGAGCCAGGAGGGTGAGTGGGAGAGCAAGGGTTGGCAGTAATGGACAAGGTTTCTTGGAGGTCAATGTACCAAGGATGGAAAAAAGAAGCCATTGGTTGGGCTTTGTAATTAAGAGGTCACTGGTGACATCAGAGGAAAGTGTGAGCACTGGGGTAGGGACCACAGTTAAGAAATGAGTAGAAGGAAAGAGATTGGAGATAGTGAATGCAGACTATTTTAAGACATTTTCGCATCAAATTTCTAACCCTAACAGTGCAATGAAGGGGAGGCAGAGTTAAGAGCTTATTTTTAGGTTGAGGTGACTTGAGTATGTTTTAGGCTGAGAAGTAGGTGCCACCGAAGAGGCAGAGTCTGAATGTACAGGAGGGCAGGAGATGGCTGGTGGATAAGATTTCATGGGAGGTGAAGTGAAGGATGGGAACAGGACTATGGAATCCATTCCCCCCAGTGTGGGCAGGCGTAAGGTGGTACTCCAAGGGCAGAATCCCCAGGTACAATTTAGTCTTGAGGCCAACAGACAATTGTTAGGGAGGAGTATGTAATTATTGACATTGTTCAGACTCACTGGTACATGGAGTTAATAAGAAGCAGACAGACTTAGAGTCAGTTTTATTATGTTTTTTAAATTCTCTGCAGACAAGGCACCACTTATTACCTGCACCTCTTATTACATGAACCTCCCCTACCTTTGGTATTACCACCAGATGCACCTCCCTTGAGATGAGGGGTAAGACTCAAGAGTCGTTTAGAGAAGGGACTCAGCCCTGATGGCCAATATGCCATACGATGAAAAGGGAGGAGAGAGCAGAGTGGGAAAGGACCAGAGCAGCCACAAGTCATGACTCAGAGGCAGGGACCTGGGACTCAGGTGCTAAACTGTCTCACCCACCCACAGCCCTTTCTTCTTGGGGGCTGTGGCTTATGGTGTCATCAGTGAGAAGCAGAGAGTAGGCACTTTCTCCACCCTACTTGATTTGCACCCCTATTAAGGTCAAAATCCAGCAGCTTTGCTTGGCACATAGTACCTCTGCCTGAAGCAATGCAGAAATAGCAGACTCTCCAGATGCTGTGTCATGGGGATAATTTCTTTAGAATCTGTGGAAGGTTGAAGAACTGGATAGGAAAGCCAGAGAGAAATGTATCACTTGAGTCCTGCTTGTACTCTTGTCAACTTTTACAGGATGAATATGAATTTTGACTACTGTCCAAGAAAAGTATCTTTTTACTAACAAAAGATGCTGAGGGAGATTATGTTGGCATGTTAATTTCTTTGACCACTCCCCAGAGCAATCAGCAGCATCATCTTGCTCCAGCCAACAGCAGACGCATGAACACACACACACTCCATACCCTTGAAAGGATATACAGATCCATTTGCTACTCAAGATTATTCCAAATCAATCAAAATAAAAGTATACTTTTGGGAACCAGCAGTTAGCGTAATGGCTATGTCGCTGGACTCCCACGTAGTCGACCGCGGTTCGTGTCCCGGACCCGGTGGCTTAAAACTCACGCCGGGCGCGTGTGCGTGCGTGCCCAAGATCCCGAGAGGAGAATGGAGGAGAAGGGATTGCGGCAAAATAAAAGTATACTTTAAATTTCAAGCTACATTTTGAATGAATCTCACTTTGGGATTGCCAGCCTCTATGCTAAAGGATATAGGGTGATAACTTTTTGGAGCAGCTCTGCAGAGGAGATGATAATTCGATGCATGGTCAGTATGACTTGCAGCAGTTGGTTACTTTGACACAGGTTTCCATCTGCATCTGAAAATATAAAGAGCAGCATTTGAGTTAGTCCCCAGAGAGAAACAGGTCTGCTGGTGGGACACCTGACCACCTTTCCTCACTCAGGGGCCGAGGGCCAGGTGTGGCTTTTTGGGCACAGAACTTTTTCTCCACTGCCACTAGCCCCATACATCCCTCTTCTTTTCTTTTCTTTTCCTCCTACTACATTCTCCCCTCCCAAAATGTCCACTTTGATGTCTATTAATCATCCTACCCCAAATATAGAATCTTAGAAAAGATATGAAGTCTTTTTCAATAAACTTGAGTCTCTATTGAAGGCAAAAGCAGATCCAGGTTTTGGGGGACCTAAAGTTCATGTAATTGAGTGGTGGGGAGAGCCTTTCTAGGGTCAGTGACAAAAGTTACAGTTTTACTATTCAATAGATTACAGTTAAAATATTATTTTTGCGAATTTTACAAAAACATATGATGACCCGAATGCATTTCTAGGACCTGCCATGGCCCTGGAAGAGGTTTATGCAAGTGAGTGGCCCTGAAATGCAAACTTCTCTAGTTTTATGGTTAATACACCTTGGGATGAAAATAAGGGAGGAAGACGATAGGCAAACATTATGTTTGAAAATCGTGAAAGGGTTTTTAGTGTCTACATTGACTTGAATCAAAGGGCATGGTTACCTAGGTTTTCAAATCCCAGTTGGTACTAAGAATAAGATGCATTCTAGGGCCAGCAGGTGATATGGAGGTTCAGGCAGCTGGATCCCACCACTGGTTGCATAGTTCGAGTGCTGGATTCAGTAGCTTGAAAAACATGCTGGGTGTGTGTTCATGCATGCTCAAAATCCTGAGAGAAGAATGGAGAAGGGATTGCGGAGTGTTATCCCCCTGGGGGAGAGGATGATTTTGTGTTCTCTCTCTCTCTCTCTCTCTCTCTCATGAGTGGATGTCCTATAGCAAAAGCTAAAAAAGAAAAAAAATGCATTCTATAAACCAGCAATGAGTATGTAATAGGGTACAGAATTCCTCTAGGAGTGTCAGTGGATGTGCTGAGTTCTCACTGTGAGGTCTACTCTCTGTCCTTTGCCGTGAATCTCATCATCTGGCTCTCTTACCAGTTGGCTTCCAGTTGGGATCAAGCACTGGAGCAGGAAATGGGAGCAGAGAGAAGTCAGGATATTCCTCTCCCATCCCCTCTGCTTTGACACCATCTCCCTGATAGCAGTGACCTGGCTGATGAACACTCATACTGGTTGGCCCTTCTTTCATGGCTCCAGCTCTCTCTGTGATCTGACACTATTAGTCTCCTTTGACCCATTGGCCCTACGGGTGGTAATGACTTATGAATGTTGATGGTCTCTGGGAGAAGCATCTCTTAATTCTACTTTCATCTCTGTAACTAGTCATCCCCTTCATTAATGTGCCTTCATTTGTACGAATTAAGTGAATTCTATTCCCATAGGGAAACTTGAATGACTCAGGGGGAAAGTATGAAATAAAAGAATATGCATGATTTGTTTTATCACCTGTATTGCTCTTTAAAATGCATTATATTAAAGCAATTATTATTTTCTTTCTGTTTCAAGTATCCAAATGGTAAATGAAGGACACTTGATTTGCATTTTGGCTCAGAATTTGGAAGTCCTGGCTCCTCACACAATGACCTGAAGTCATAGTTCATTGAGAAAATAAAAGTAAACTATAAGGCTTTCTCACCTTGCCATCACCAAGCCCACCCATTTACTGGCACTGTCTCTCCTTACTGCCTGCCTCCCTGGGTACCATAGGAGGCTTTTCCGAGGATGACACTTCCCTCTGGGTCTCCTCCTTTCTCAAGGATGATTGTCCTACAGACTCCTCCTTTCTCAAGGATGATGGTCCTACATTTGTCCACTTTCTCTCTCCTGATATATCAACTTTTCTCTCTGGTGGTTTTCTTCCATTGGCATTTACTTCTGCCATTTGTCTTACTTAAAACAAAATGATATAAAACAGAACCTTAAAGTCTCATACTCTCCAGTTACCTCTCCTTTTCTCTGTTCCCCTTTTTTAGCAAAACCTTGCCATCATATCTTTCTCACCTCCTGTTCAATTTTTCAAACATTCCATTTTTAACTTCTGTCCCCATTATTCCACTAAATCTTTTGGTTTCAAGGTTACCAATCAGCTCAACATCACCAAATCCAATAGTTACTCCTCTGTCCTCATCTTACTTTATGACTCAGTTGCATTCAACTCAACGCAACCCAAGTTGGTGACTCTGTCTTTCCTGGAACACTTTCATCTCTTGGCTTCCATAATATCACACTTCCTCAGCTTCCCTCTCAGGCTTTTCTGTCTCTTCTTCTCTGCTGAGCTTTTAAATGTCAGTGTGCTCTGTGATTAGTCCTCCCACTTTCTTTTTCTAACCATCTAAAAAATTTCAAACTTCTTACATTTTGTTGTTTATTTCTTTCTTCCATAAGCAAGAGAGAGAGAGAGAGAGAGAGAGAGAGAGAGAGAGAACACTTCCAATAGGATCTCGACCCCATGATCTATCCCCAACCTCAGCCAGCCCTGGACTGTGGGCACACACGTGCCCTGCATACTCAGGGAGGTCTCCGATGTCAACTGGAAACCGTCTCATGTGGCCTGGCTTTGCGGAGTGCTGCATTTTACTGCTGCACCACTGCCAGGCCCCTTGAATTTTAAATTGAAACAAACTTTAACATTTTTTTTTTTCTAGGTGAACTCCTGTAGTCCCTTGGCTGAAATACCATTTATATCCTAAAGCGTGCCCAACTTACATCTTTAGCTTTGACTGCCAGATTAATATGTCCAGTGGCCTACTTTACAAATTCACTCGAATGTCTAAGTTCTAACTTAACTCTTTCAAACAAAACTCTTGATGACACCCTCTGCCAATTTATTCTTCCTTTACTCTTCTTCATCTCCAGGAATAGTACCATTAACCATTCTCTCAGTTATCTGAACTAAAACCCAAGCATCACCCTTCATTTCTTTCTGTGTGGTCTTTCTTCTCTTGGCTCAATCATGTCATTTAGATCTCAGTTTTGATGTCACATCCTCAGAGTCGTCTTCCTTAGACTACCTAAGGTACCATTACCGTGCTCGAGTTTCTTCGTCATACCTTATGATCTGAAGTTAGCTGGATCATTTATCTAATTTTTAAAATTTTCTGAATCTCCGATTGAGTATAAGTTTCATGAGGCCTGAGCATTGTCCATTTTCTTCTGCACCCAGGTTTCCAAGACCTAGAATGGTGCTGACACATGGTAGGGTCTCATGAATGTTTACTGAGTGAATGAATGAACTGTGATCAATAAAAAAAAATCCCTTAACTTTTCATGTCTCTTTAGAATTGAGTTTGCTTTGGTCTTCAGCTATGTCATTGATGACATTTAATATATACACTTATTTTCTTTAGGGCCATAGTTTGCAAAAGACACTGAAAGTTACAATTTGGTAAATCATTTTTATGAAATATTCATCTAGCAAGGTTATGGTTTGGTAGATGTTTCACTAGTTCTTCTACACTTACATTCTAGTAGGGTAGGGTTAATGGGCTTTATATTTTCTGGCTTACATAATTTCTGTAATAATTATCTCATGCCACAGAAAATCTATATGACCCACCCCAAAACTCAGTGACTCAAAACAATAATCATGTATTCTTGCTCAAGAGTCTGAGTTGGCCAAGATCAGCTGATGGAGCCCGATCTTCCCTGGGGGCCCTGTCCCACATGCCTCCTGGGCTTCTTGGACCAGGAGGATAGTGGGGTGAGTTGTCATGGTGATGCTAAGGCATAAAAAGGTAACTGGAAAGACCCAAGGCTTCATAAGCCTAGACTTGGAACTGACTCTGCCGCATTCTTTTGGCCAAAGCAAGTCACGTTGCTGAATCTAAAGTCACAAAGTCACAATGTGGCATTGGGCAACATGGTTTTTAGAATGTAACTTTCCTACTAAAGGTAGTAGTGTTCATATTCGTAAATGCTGTGCTGAAACTGTGCTGGAAAGGAGGAGGGACTGGGAAATATATCTGCAGGGTATGCATTAGAATGTTCACGTGATCTGTGGACAGCCTGAGCCCATTCAGTATGGACTGCATCTCAGACTTGCTATGTCAATGTGCCTTTATGACTGGCTAGCATCTTTCCATGGATGCTCATGTACAGGAAAGGCATTAGCAGTATATTCTGGGGAGAGCAAACCCAAGTCACATATGGAAGGATTCAAGGGACTCAAAGGGTTTACCATGAAGAAGACTCAGGGAAGACATTAGCACTGTCTTCAAATATTTGAAGTGTTGTTTGTGGGAGAAGGTTTAGATTTGTCTTGGGACCAAAAAGGCAGCACCAGAGTGGACAGATAGAAGTTCCAGCAAACAAGTTTGGGCACAACATTTGACAGAAAATTCTAACCATGAGCACTACTCAATATGGAAGCACCCCCATCACAGCTAAAAAGAGGCTAGAAAGTGATATTTCATAGACATTATGGTGATTGGCAAAGTTGCTACCATTTACTGAAGACTGGCCAAACACCAGGGACTGTGCTAAGGAATTAAACAATGTTATTTGTAATTCTCACAACAAACCTGCCACATGGACATTCGCCTCTGAGGAAATTACAGGGGAGATTAGGTCATTTGTTCCAAGTCAGAGCGACAATGAGTGGAGAAGCTAAGATCTGGCCCCAGGTCTGTGTGATTCCAGAACCCTTGCTCTTTCCACTACACCTGGCTGCCTGCTACATGCCAGGCATTTGTCAGACCAGAGGGATTCAAGTAGGAGGCTTGAATGTAGGCGAGCTGCAAGAACTCTTCCAGCCCTTATGGCTACAAGTCTAAGAGAGTCTAAGAGATGCCACTAGGAACTGGGTCAGAACCGATGCACATTTGGCAGAGTAGCTGTTGTACTCTGGCAATTTCTGAAAAACTCATGTAAACCATGGTCGATTGATATTGATCTTGAAAGTTGCCTTTAAGGTAAGAGCCCAGGGTGCTATTGCTTCAGATTTGCAATC